GCAGCCACACCCGGGGCCCCTGCCTCTCTCCCTCTTCCTTTGTGGAACCACACTCCCCTCTATATGCTTTCTGTACCCTAAGATCTGGAGGGTCTCTGGCTCTCGGTGCCCATCTTCATATGGCTCACGGAGACTAAGGGATCAGAGTGAAGGGGCTGATCTCACAACGTTTATCATGTTTATGGGGTGAGAATTGGGGTTCCTGCCCTCAAAGCCAAACTTCTACAGTCTCTTGGCACGCAGTTGGTGTTCATGATGGGGACTTTGCCCTTCCTTCAATCTTCCAAGACTGTGTGGTGGGAGCCTCAGTGATCTGGGACTCTCCGACACACACACACACACACACACACACACACACACACACACACACACACGGCCACATCCAAAGCATCTCAACCCTCCTGGGCACCCTAGGATAGGCTGGAACAGTCATTCCCACCCCCAGCCTTTGGGATGGGCCCCATCCCCCAGTTCACCCTACCCAGTACCTGGGAGAGGCTGCTCTGAGTTCTCTTCTTGTTGGACAGGGGTCACTTCATTTTTGAGACAGGGTCTCCCTAGGTAGATCAGGCTGGCCTCAAACTTGAGATCCCCCTCCATGGGTTAACCAAGAGCTGGGATTTTAGGCATGGGCCACAACACCCAGTGACCAGGGCCTGTTTTAAAGCTTGGTCCTGGAATCTTCGAGGGCAGCTGGAACTAAAGACCACTGCCAGGGGAAGGAGCTGCATACGCAAAGGTCGACTTGAACAAGGGGAAAACCAGCTCAAGGACCCAGTGCCTCTGTATGGCAAACTGTTCAGGACCTTCAAGGAAACAGTCTGGGAAACATAGGACCCCATCCTTGCCGTCCCCATCACTCCCCATGGGAGAAAGCGCACCTGTTGCCCCCAAACCCTAGAGATTTCTAACTGTCCATCTCCTCATTTTACAAATGGGGCCACTGAGACCCAGAAGACTAAAAGACCTTGTGGTCTTCCCAGCTTAGAAGGTCAGGGTGGGCTAGGAACCCAGTATATTTAGTCTTAGGGACCTCGACTTCCCCCTACCCACCACAACCTTCTAGATTCTGCTACATTGTCTACATGGTCACAGGAAACTAAGGCCACAGGGGCTCATGGCTTCCCTCACCAAGCCTGGGGCTCTTCCACAACCCACCAGGGGCCCAGCTGTTCCTGTTTACCCCATTTTCTTTAACCCCACAACAGTCTCCTCGAGTAAGACAAGAACGTGGTCAGATGTCAAGCCCCTCCCTCCACACAAGGCCAAGCAGGCGCACTGGTTCCCAGCGTCCACTGGGACTACTCAGGATCCTGCACACCCCCGCAGGCGCACTGGTTCCCAGCGTCCCCTGGTACTACTCAGGATCCTGCACACCCCCCGCATCCCTTCTGTTCCACTCCCTTCCATCACACCAACTTCACAAGCAAGGACACGGAGACTCAGAGGCATGTGAGAACTTGAACTCACCGACGGTACCGGTTTCTGCCAGTCATGAAGGTGGGGTGAAGGGTATCGTGTGGTTTTGAGGGTTCGCTGTAGCTGGTAGACCTGTTCAAGACCTCCCATGTGACAGAAGGCAATCTCCCACCTGAGGTCCCTTCGTCACAGCATAAAGCATTGAAGAGATGCCCCGTTTGTTTAAGAACTATACTGGTTTAAACCAGACCACCTTTGCCAGACTATCCTGGCATTTGGGTGGGGATGTCCAGCACATAGAAACAACTAGGCACCAGGCAGCACTGGGGGAGCTTCCTGTGGGGATGGGTGAGGGTCCCTGAGGACACAGGAGGTGGGGTTGCTGGGCGCCTCGGTACCTCAGATTCCAGAACTACTCGCTGACCTGAGAGCAAAGCTGGATAGTATTCCTTGTGCTGGACCCAGCCAGAGGGTGGGCTAGAGTTCCCAGGGGTGGGGCTAACATTTGGGAGCTCCCATCCAGTCTCAGGGTTGAATGGGCCCAGGTACCCCGGCTGTCTCAGCACCATTTCCTCTCTGTACTTCCCAGTCCCCCTGGGCTCTAAGATCATACATACTCAGTCATTCTCTTAAAAGCCACCCAGCACTTTAGAAGCTGCTGCAGACTGTGGGGTGTGAGGCTGGGGCCTTACTTTGTGCTGGTGTCTTGTTTGAAAGAAACAACACACGGAACCCACATGTGAGTCCACAGCACGTGCACCCGCCTCTCTGTGTGAGTGTGGTCAACTCCTCTCTCTGATGTCCGTCATACTTCCGAGCCCCCGAATGTGAGCCATTAACCTCAACTCCTGGGCTACACACTACACATGTAAGAGTACCCATTCAGCTAACACGTGGGAGTGTGGGCCTCGGCAGGCTACCCTCCTCTGTCTGTGCCTTCCCCAGACAGGGAGTACATGCTCTGTACTCTAAGCCCTGACTTCTGCTTCCTTAGAGCCCCACCCTGCAACAACAAGGGATCTTGCAGGTCCCCAAGCCACCCCGACACAGCTGCACCCCAACCTGTTATTTCCTTAGCCACCTCTGCCCCATGGACTCAGTTGGTAGCTGCGAATCCCAGCACCGTCCACCTCGCCTTGCTCTGGGAGCGTGCGTCCTGCCGTGTCAAGCTGTCCCTTTCTTCCCTAAGCTTTGCAATCCTGTTAAGCTGCAATCAGCCGGGTCATGTGTGAACTCAAACTTCAACCACCTCATTTCAGGTATGAAACATCTATCGCCCCCTGCAGTTCCCTGCAGCCTCCTGCAGCCCTCTGCCTGGGGGGTGGCAAGGCCGTCTTCCTGCCAATGATTCTGGAGCGCTGCAGCCAGATGGCCATAGATGTGGCTTCTATCTGAGTCCTGATCTTTTGCCATCAGAGTGGCTGGGAGTTTTGAAACATACAGGGAGCTGGTGGGTCCGTAGCTGTCTCTTGAGAGGACTGGGTATAAGGGTCAGATGGAGCCTGAAGAAGGAGGCCAGGAAGTCCTGGCTCCAGGGAATTCCCACTTCCAGGAGCTGAGCTGTGCACCCAGGAATTTCATCCATGGCTTTACTGCAAGGCATGTTGCTACCTGACGAAGCGGGCCCCTTGTTTGTGGAGGCGTAGTGCCCCACCCGAGTTACCCCCGCTGGGAGCAGCATGCCCCAGCAGGTGAGGTCTCATGAGTACCCTGCCAACATGTTTACATTGGGCATCCTTAGGGCTAGGGGTGGGTACCATATCCCTAGCTTTAGGGGCTTGGGACTGTTCCCTGTTTACACCTTTAGTCCAAGACCCCCACCCAGGTTGGTCAGTGGGGTCTCTGAGAATTCTGTCCTCTCGGGCATGGACTGGGCAGCTTGGGCCGGGGGAGGCAGCTTCCAGCATTGCCAAGGAAGGCATCTTTAAAGTTCTTGTATAAGGTCCCCCCTCCCTGGAACCTGGTAGCCATTTCCTGTCTCTCTAGACTGGAAGACACCAATATCGTAGACGACAAGGGTCAGGATCTTGTCACTAAGGGGTAGCAGGCAGGGTGGGGACTATGCTTTTGCCATACTGCACGGCTGTCTTCTGTTCCTAAACCCCAGGATACCCCTGCTGCAGCATCTGCCTTGGTTTCTACACCTGCCACACGGACACTCAAAGGTGTTGAAAGAGGGTGAACTCTGAGACAGTCTCCTGAGCAGGCAGAGACCAGGGCTGGAAAGGCAGAGCTCAGAGACGTGGACATCACCAGGCCAACACCTGAAAGACCCCTGCCCACCGGGGCTGCCGCTGTAGGACTCAGTCTTCTCTGAGTTCTACGGGGACCAGTGGGCCCTGACCCGTGCTCCACCCTCTACAGAGGGGGTTGGGACCACAAGGAGATGTCGCCTGCCTCTTCAGCCTTGCTGTGCATTCATTCTGACAGCTCTATGGGTCTCTTGTTCACTGATGCCCAAGGTGACCAGATTTCCCCTTCCAATATAGGGGGCTTAGCCTCATACTTTCCCAGCCTCTCCAGTCCCTGACCCTCTGGCACGTGGGCCCTCAGGGGCTAGTGGGAGAAAGGCTGTCCTGGAGACCTGCTCAGCTCTCTGGTGCCTCTGCAGCTGACATGTGCCAACTTGGCCTGGGTTTTGTTCTTCCTTCATATGCTTGCAGGGTTCCTCCAACGAGACCCCGCCTGACACCTTCCCAGCCTCCATGTCTGATGGGCTCCCAGCACTCTGGTGGTCCAGTGGGGGAGGTTGAGGAGAGAAGGCCTCAAGGGGCTTCCTCGGGACCAGAGGTCGTCACAAGCCCCTGCTTGCACGCACCAGCCACCTCCCTCCAGCTCCCGGCATCATCAGGGCATCGCAGCGGCAGCCGGGGAGTGGGGCAGGGACAGAACTGCACTAACTACTGTGGCTTGTCTTCCGCCTTCTAGACAAGAGTTCCCGGTAGGAGCTGGCAGCCTGGCACCCCTCCTGGTCCAGGAAAGAGACTGTTCCCATTGACCACACTGTCCCCGTCTCATATAGAGCGCTTAGCTCACTGCCCTCCATCCTGACCTGGTCCACAGTAGATAAGGGGACATGAAAGATAGGGATAGCTCAGAGACAGTCAGCAACGTGTCTGCTCAGACCAATATGGCTTTCTGGGCAATGGAAAAAGAGATGTGCCCTCTCCACAGGGCCTTGAGATATTAGAGAATTCCAACTCCCTTCTCTCTGAGGGGCGAAGCCAACTGAAAACAAAGGCATCTCAGGAAAAACTAAAGAAAGAAAGAGGTGAAAGAGGCAGCTGGGAACCCCCTGGGTCCAGTCATGCCCGCAGCTCTTCCCACCACTGGAGCCAATCATGCTGGAATCCACTCCTACCTAGGGGTTGACATAAGACAAGCTTGTCCTACTTCTTTATAATCCGATAACTTATCATTTATAACTTAAATATATTTACTTCTTTATAATTTGAAGGGTCCTGACTAACACAAGGTGGGCCATCCAAAGCCCTGGCTTCCTCGTTATGCCTGGCTCCTGAGGAAAGCCGACCCCCGCTTATTACCAATGTCCAGTCTTCAGCAAGGACCGCCCCACTCACCATGCCTGGCAGGTGGAAGACATCCATGCTGGTCTCCTCGCTGCCCACTGACTCGCTATTCCCCCTGCTGGGTTGGGGAAGGTCGAAGTAGGTGCTGTCTGGCTCCCTGCATTGTGGGGAGGGAAATAGGCTGTTAGTATCTGGTCCAGCATCCCCTGAGTTCCCCTGGTTCAGGATGCCAGGCTACCCCATGGCTCCTGGCAGCATTTATGTGTCCCAAGAGATTGATCGTACATCCTCCACCTTCTGAAGCTTTCATGCTCCCGTCCCCACCATCCCCACCGTCCCCACCAGCCCTTGGCTTGCCCCTCAGACCTGGCAGTACTGGGATGAAATCGTTTCGCATACATGATCTCTGTGCCCTGGACAGACCTAGAGCACTGGCCAGAGGACAGACCATAACTGTTGGTTATATACCCAGGCCACGGCCTAGGGCAGCTGCTACCCTGGCAGACCCCTCTTCCAACCTGCTCCAAGCCAGCCAAGGTCAAGCAGGCCCAATGATTGAAGGGGTCTCCATACTCACAGGGAACTCCACAGATGCTCGAAGGTAGCTCCCTCGCCAGGGGAGGAAGAGGCGGACTGGGTCATCTCTCCCACGCTGCGGCTCATTCTGGAGGGAGAAGGAGGACAACGTGAACATCCGGGGAGCCCCATCCTCTGCCTTCTCAGTACCAGGTGAGTGAAGTGAGCAAGGCTGTGACCGTGTCGGGGAGACCCCAGAGCAGCTGCCAAGCTCTCTGCCCATGCACCACCACTGTGCCCTCCTCTTCCTCCTCACTCTCTTCTCCTGCCCCCTCTCCTTCTCTTCCCCTTCAAGCAGTCCATCCTCTGGCCCAGGAAGTGAGACAGAGGCAAATTTGGCTTTTGATACTCATTGCTAGATCCTGTTGGGGTGGGAAGGGTTCCAGACAGGAAGTAGTCTCCGGGAAAAAACGGGTAACAAGGGCACCTTTTTTGTAGACGCTGTGGAGTGAGTGAATTTAGTCTTCAGGGTCTTGGGTCAGTTTGAGCAAGAATAAGCCAAGGCTGCCATCACCGTGTTCTGAGTCGACAGGTATGGCCAGGGTTAGGTCAAGCCAGGTCTTGGTTGTGTGTTTGGTGGGGGAAGGTTGTCCCAGGTGCCCGGGACTTGGAGACAGCTCAGGCGTCATCAGTTCCTCTTAGTAAGAGCATGGGTAGAGTGCCCCCTGCTGGAGCCAGGTCTGGCATGCATAGCTATGCAGGCTGCTGTGAAACTCAAGAGGGAAGGGGTTCTCCCTAGACCCACAGATAAGAAAACTTGACAGAGTCTAAAGTTAAGGCCCTGAGACTGTCCTGGAGTTTTCACCTGTGGGTGGTCTCCTCCTCAAGGAGATAAAGGGGAGCGGGATTACTGTGACCCCAGCTAGAACCCACTAGCTCTCTCCCCACTATTTCCTTAGCACAGCCTCCCACATGGAGACTCCACCCAGGAAGAGGGTGGGGCAGGGAAACCCCAGTCCACCTGCCCGCTGCTGCCCCTATCCCAGCTGAGGAACGGCTCCCTGGGGCAGCCTTCTGAGCCCTGGGAGTCAGTCTGGCCCAGCCCTACACTGCCAAGCCGACAGGCCCAGACTTGCCCAGGGCTGGCAGGGCAGATCTGTCACTTTTGTCTGACCCCAGGCAGGCAGCGGCTCATAGAGGTTTGTGGCACACTCTAGAGATGGTACAGGCCAGGCCATCGGTCCCCAAAGAAGTATCACAAGCTGGAAGAGCCATTACAGCGGCCCAGCAGAGCATAGGCAAAGAAAAACCTGAGGGTGGAGGCTCACCCAGGAAGGGAGGACGGCACCGGATAAGCGCCCTACACCTGCCACAGCCTCGTCCTCTTCAGAAGACAGGCTCTGAGACATTAAGCGCCTTGCTCCACAGCTATAATCAGCTCAGGAATGAATAATTAATCTATACTCTTCTTTAATAATAGGAATTAATTTTCCCCACTTCCCATTTACCACAGTTATGAAGGTTTTGACACAGCATTGGCCAACCAACAGAGAGGGTCAGAAGAAACCTGCCTTCACCAGTTTGGTGGGGGAAAGGGGGCTTGTCCTTTCTGGTGAGGAGCCATTGGTCATGGTAGGCTTGCCAGCGGGGCCAGGCTGGTGGATGGGGAATGTGTGGCGTGAATGGGTCAGCTGGGCTAAGCCAACACCTTCAGACCCTTGCTCTGGGGTCCTGACCTATGGATCATGTAGTCCTTTTCTCCCTTTGACACTGACTATGCCAAGCTCAGAAAGGGAAAGGACATGGCTCCTGTCACACAGTAAACGGACATCAAAGCCCGCGTCCCTTCAGAGAAGCATTGCTTACTTTAGCCAGGTGGGGTGGAGGGTCAGGAACACATCAGCAGGAGAGCTGACAGACACGATGTGACCCGAGCACACGGTAGGTGGCATTTGGCCGAGGCCGTGATCGAGGACAAGTTGCCAATTCAAACCCCCAATGTGTCTGAGTCTGTTGCTTCGACAGGTACAGGACAGGAAGTTCACAGCGGGAGCCAAAGGCAGGTCGGAGGTGCTAGCCTGAGGCAGTGCAATGGTAAGCAAACGCTTATGGTCCCAGGTTTCTTCTGGGGGTTAAATATGCTGGGAGCAAGCAGAAGCTCAGCCATACCAAAAGATGAATGGAGGCTGCTGAGCGTCAAGCTTCAAAATGCTGTTTGGAAGCCAGCAGAGGTGCACACAGGCAATCCCCGTCATCAAGAGCTTGAGGCAGGGGCATCAGTTCAAGGTCAGCCTCAACTACCTGAGACCTAGTCTACAAAAGCAATATTTGAAGATAAGATGCTAATTATGTATTAGGAAAATTCCAGGGCATTCTTTAAATTTTTATGTAATTACATTTACTTACACATTACCTATTTATACACATGTGGTGTGGTATATGTGTACACGTGTACCGTGGTGTGAGGGCAGAGGTCAGAGGACAGCTTTCAGGGGTGGGTTCTCTCCTTGCAGGTCATCAGACTTGGCAACAAGCACCCTTGCCCCGTGAGTCACTTCACTGCCTCACGCTGGTTTTTGTTGTTGTTAATTAAAATGAGAGACCCACGACGGCATCTGGAACACATGTCAGTCATGCTGTGATCATTTTGCCCTGGATGGTCTCCACGTTCCCTTGCCACCCACTGAAGGCCAGTACTCAGGATAGGAACAAGCACTTTGAAACTCCCTGTCAGGTGGAGGACCCCAAACACATGCTCCTCCAGGACTCCGTCTTGGATGTAGCCTGGGAAGACAGCAACAAGAGCCTTGGCTGGAACTGGGGTCTGGGTATCCCAGCCTAGGATATGCCAGGAGTGCTGTGTGGGTACCTCTGCCTTCCACACCTCACCCTACCTCTTGCCACCCAGGCCGGCTGGCTTCTCCAGTTCCAGCAACGACGTATCTGAAGATGGTCAGCCCTCTGGGGAAGCCAGGGACAACACAGGTTCCACTTCATCCCTTGTGCCCACATGGCCAGGACAAGCAGAGAGAGACTAAGAAGTGGCAGATGCCTAGTGCCCGGGTGTGGGGGGGAAGCAGGGGTTAGGAAGGGGCTATCTGCAGGCTCCAGACTCCCAGGAGTTCAGCAGATTTTCCCAAGACTCCTTGCTGAGTGTTCTTCTTCATGCCCTTCCTGCCTGCCAGGTCCTCCTGCATCCACACAGAAGAAGGCACATCTGGTCAGGGGCCTAAGATCAAACCTTGGCCTGCTCACCATTCACATAGCACTCCACCACACACTCTCATCTTGCCCCCTCCCCCACTGGTTCCTCCAGTCTTAATGGGGTGTGCTTGAGTCAGCTGCCACGGGTTGGCTCTGCACTACTGTTCCTTCAGCTGGGACATTGTCTTCTTGCCTGTGTCCTTGAAGGCTCCATCCCAGCACCCAGGTCTGGACTGAGACCACCACAGCCTTGGGGAGGCCACCTACACCATCCAGCCTTGTCTCCCTTCCCTTGTTTTCTACAAAATTCCCACAGCTGATAACCCAGCCTTACTATGTTATCATCTTATACTCTCTCTCTTCAGAGAGGGGAGGGGGCAGGGATGAGGGAAAGAGAGGCAGAGAGAGGGGAGGGGGAGAGAGACCTCTGGGATATCTGCACCCTCGGGGCCGGGGTTTGGTGAGGGATAGCAAGGGCTTCTGGCCCAGCTCCCTGTTCAGCCAGGAAGCCAGATTTGCTTTCCCTTTCCATCCCACCAGACTGCAGTCCCAGCCTCTGCTGCCACCACCAGGAGTGTGTGATGCCGGCCACTACAGGAGTCAATCAAAGGGGCTTCCTGGGGCCCTGGCTGCAGGTATGTGTGACCTCAGGGTGAGAGGGCAGGTCAGGACCTGCACTCCATTAAGTCAACCCTAAAACTCTAAGTTAAATTTTCTCAATGAAATCCACATTCCCCAATAGCCTGTCTTGTGTGTTTGTGTGTGTGTACGTGTGTGTATGTGTGTGCATGCATGCGTATGTGTATGTGTGTGCATGCATGTGTATGTGTGTGTACATGTGTGTGCGTGCATGTGTGTGTATGCGTGTGTATGTATGTGTGCATGTGTGTGCATTCAGGTGCACACTTCAGAGGTCAGAGGTCAGCTTTCAAGAGTCAGTTTTCTCCTGCCGCTGTGCAGGTCCCAGAGCTAGAGCTCCAGTGGTCAGGATGGGCAGCACGCGCCTTTACCCTTGAGCCATCTCACTGGCCTAGGAATTGTAGATTTTGTTGGAGACTTGAGTTTTTCTAGAGAGAACATGCATCCTGTGATGTGATGGGAGCCACAGAAGATCCAGGATCTTCAGGGGAAGACTTCAGGCTGAATTACACTTGGCCATGGTACCCGCTGATGGCCAAAGCACCAGGGGCCCCCAGAGGAGCTTCATGTCAGAAGCTCTGAATTGAGAGACAGTGGTATCGTGCACATCTGTCCAGAAAGCACCCAGGTCACAGCCTGTAAGCATGCCTGGCGTATGGGTTGCCTCTGCCCCGTCCTAGTCCTGCCTCCACCTCCTCAAAGCCTTGGATAGGTTTCTCTCTTTGCTGAGCTGGACCTCTTCTAGGCCTGGCAGTGCCTACACCAGTGAACCAGTGTGGCACAAATCTAATTGGTCTTAATAATAAAATCCCAGAGTCAGGTATTAGCTGAAAGATCAGAGAAGCAGAGCAGCCAGCCACTAGAGAGTTCTTACCTCTACAAAATCCTCAGACCGAATTGGATATCCTGTCTCTACAAGTCCTCAGACTGAACCCCGAGCTCCTGTCTCCCCGCCATCTTATATTCCTCTCTCTGCCCAGCCATATCACTTCCTGTCTCCCCTCCTTTGTGCTGGGATTAAAGGCATGAGCCACCACCTCTTGGCTCTGTTTCTCTTTTAGACTGATTCAGTCCCTCGTGTAGCCCGGGGTGAACTCACAGAGATCCATCTGCCTCTGTCTCCTGAGTGCTGGGATTAAAGGTTCCTTTGCCACCACTGAGTGATCCTCCACGGAGAGAGCCCAGCAATGCTGACTGAAGATTCCTGGCAGGGCCACTCGGCCCACACAGACACTGGGCTCTTTGGGTATGGCAGAGTTTTCTCCCTTCCAGTCAGCAGGAAAAAAACCCCAGAGGAACCAACTG